AACGTGTTGCAGTGGTGACAAATTAAAATCCTACATGGCAGACAGTGTCTCTAAGCAGACTAAACACATCGGTTTGCCTTGAAATTCTGTGAACAGATAGTCTTTCTCGTTGTACAAAAGACAAATTGCGCGTGTCAGGGCTACTCAACTAGTGGCCCGTGGGCCACATCCAGTCCGTGGGTGACTTCTATTCGGCCCGCCAATGAGGCACATACACACATCATTGCATTTGCATTAAATTGAGGACATTGTATTGACTTCCATTCATTTTTGTAACTGTATTTATGTCTAACCCAAACATTTTCCCTAAAATTAACCATTACTGGTCTATAGTTGACCCTAACCTGAACCAAAACTTATTTCAAACCATACCTCTAAACCTAACTAGTAAAGCACAGCAGAGCTGCAAACAAAGTGATGACATTGAAGCAGGCCTCACTTTCATCAAAGACCTCACTTTGATAGTAATTATGGCACAAATGGTCCTCACTCAGTAGTAGAAACAAGTACACTTACACCCGAGCTGTGGGCTTCACGTCACTCCTGCCCTCTGTGTGATTTAGTTGAATAGCCCTGACATGTGTACTTTTATTAGGACTGCATGAGGAACCAGTTACTGACAAACTCTGGTTGAGACCAGTTGCTTTGAGAGGCTTTGATATAATTTTACAAGCCATAAATGCACAGTCTGTATGGAAGGAAGTGAGTGCCAAAAGCAGACGATCTTTAAACGGTCACCGGGCACCACTTTCTTAAAAAAAGAAAAACTGTTTTAACGCTGAGGACATGACAGCCATTATCTGTTAAGCTGGAATAAGCCTAGAGGGGAGGGTGGAATTATCAACATTTACCCCCACCACCTACTCCCCTCAGCCACACGCCTCCCCGGTGAATCTGTGTTAAAACGTTCCTGACTTTTCGTTCATTTAACACTCGAGCGAGCACAACAGAAAAATGCTCGGCGCCGTCCTTTCAGAAAGCGTCGGCTGGTGTAAAGGTTTAATCGCCCATCGTGTCAGCCTCATCAGGACCTGCTGCCGATGAGCTCCCACCTCTGTCGCTTTCATTCGCTTCCTCTCAATCTGCGCTCCCGTCCATCCCGTCTGAGCATCTATCTGCTTCAGTTCTATTCATCTGACTTCCCATCACTTGGTCTGCCAACAGGGCAGTCTGACTTTCACAGCTGACCTCTTTAGAAGAAAAGAGGAAATGAAGTAGCTCTAAAAAAGCTGAAGTATGACACTTTCTTTGTTTTTTAATCGTCTGCCTTGGTTTAGCGGTGATTTCTGTTATGAGGGAAAACCCACAGCAAAAACTGGGCAGGCAGAGGAGTATTTTTCTAGAATTAAAACTGATAAATCATGGGGTAAATTGCTGGCCAGGTGAATATTTTGTGCATACTACTTAACACACTTTCTTATTTATTAAAACACAGCATGGACCAGGCTTTAGATTTAACACAAGCACTGACACTTTTCAACACAACTTTCCTCCTGAAATACATTTTTAAGCAACTGCAGAATAAAATAACGATAAACCCCAAAATAAAATCCTTAAAAGCAACTTAAAAATGCAACTAATAAAATAGTTTAACCAAAACCTTTTAATCATGTTCTTGCTCTCTTTGCCGAGTCCTAAAAATGTAACATTGGGTCTTGATTTACAACCAAAAGTTAATTAAAGGAGAATACGTTTTAAAAAAATCCATGTTACCACTGAGTCGCTTGCTGAAATACAAATACATTTGTATTATAGTCTACATTAAAGAGTAACTTACCCCAAAATTAACTTTTTTTAGCTGATAAACTGCCTAGAATGTGTCTAAAATGTTATATAGTACAGTTTCTGTGCTAATTTTAATTTTTTGTGCGTATTTGTTCAAATCTGTAATATTTGGTCTAAAAACATGTTTTTGCTGCTCATTTGGGTAGAGCAGTGGTACTGCAGGCTAATTTGCATATTGGTTAACGACTCTCCACGGTGACGTGTCTTCTCCACGGTTTCGTCACAGCGGCTGTGTTCTGGTATAAAAGCCTCTCTCTAAGACACGCCCCTGCAGCAGTCAGAGGGCCTAGCATGATCAATCGATCGATCGATCGTCCGTCCCTCCCTCCCTCCCTCTCTCTCTCTCTCTCTCTCTCTCTCT